GTCCCGACAGGTTACCAACTGCTCTTTACAGTAGGACTGGTTCTTGAAGACAGAGCAGTTAGCTTCTTTGTTCTAGTCTACAAATAGCCTCTCAGACTTGCTCTGGATTCTGAGTAGAACAGCTAAGCTCTTCATACCTTAAGAGTGGGCAGACAGAACCTCAGATTTCAAAGGACATATAATATGAATGATTCTTTCCACTTCCAAGACTGAAAGGAACAACGTTGTTTGCATACACTCTTGTTCTCAAAACCCCCAGGCTGTCTAGTGTCTTGCTGATACAGTCATTCCTGGTGTCTAATCTTAAATGTTCCTGGCTGCAGCTCAAGTCTGTTCCCTTTATCTTGTTTCTCCATGAAAACCAGAACCAGGGCGTTGTCTGATGAAAGCTGTTTCCACACCATACAACTGTTGTTAAAAATGTACTTACCAGCCTGTCACATTTTACAAGTTAAAGATATGGCTTGCTGTGTTTTAAAATTGGCCTTGGTTTTAAAATGCATGGCCATCTGCAATGCTGACTAGGAGGAGGCCAGCCCTTTAAGTCTCCAATCAGAGAGGAATTATTAAGAAATTGTGTGACATGTTTTAAATTTTTTAAATTAAGATATCATAAAGATGATGTTGCCTTTGTAACTTGGCCTGTCCCACTCTTGAAGAATGACCACCATTGGAAGCTAGGTCACAGGAGGTTCTGGTGTGGTCTCACACTTGAACCCACATGGTGCTAAGTCTGAAGACCTTTTTCAGTAGAAAAAAGAAAACATACTTAAAACTATAATCTAATGAAAAATGTTTTTAAAGGGCAGTTATCTTGGGTTTTCCATTTCTGTGAAAAGACACCATGAACACGGCAATTTTTAGAAAGGAAAACTTTTAATTGGGGCTGGCTTACAGTTCCAGAGGTTTAATCCACTGTCAGGGCAGGAAGAATGGCAGTGTGCAGGCAGGCACGGTGCTGGAAGAGGAGCAGGAGTTCTAAGTCTGGATCTGCAGGCAGCAGGTGGAGAATCCATACACCCTTCCTCCAACAGTCACACCTGCTACAAGGCCACATCTCCTAACAGTGCCACTCTCCATGGGCCAAGCATTCAAACACATGAGTCCCTGGGGGTCAGTCTCATTCAAACCACCACAGCAGTTTAAGAGTCCCAAGGTGGCTCAGCAGTTAAGAGCAAAAGACCCGAAGCACCCATGGGGCAGCTCACAACTGTCTGTAACTCCTGTTCCAGAGGATCTGACACCCACATACAGACATATATAGCCAAAACACAAACGTACATAAAAATAAAAAGACTTAAAAAAATAGAATAAACTTCCAAAATCTGTACTGCCTTTTTTAAAACAAATACACATAAAGGTTGGTATGAGGATAATGAAAAAAAATCTATTAGCAAATAGGGGACATAGCTGAGATTCTGACATCAGACCTGTAAAGTTAGAGTGAACTCTCTGCTGCCTGTCAGAATCGATGTCCCCGAATTTCAGGTGTTCCGAATTCCTACTGGCTACCCAGCCCCACAACACTTTTACACGTCAGCTGTCATGAAAGTAGAGTATTTTGTATATACATTTTGGACTTTGATTAGCATCCTAGTGGGGATTTCCTGTTTAAAGTCATTAGCTCCAAAATGGTTTCCTGATATAAGTGTTCAGTAAGTTGACTGTGACCCTGTTTGTTACCCAGCATATAAAATAAAATGACCCTGCAGGCTACGTGACTGCTTGGAAACTAAAAGTCCCAATTCTTTGTTGTGAATCAAATCAGTCTTTTCGCCTAGTGTGGAATAAAGAAGAGAAACCCAAAGGATTGAAATAATGTCAAAATATCAAGTGCAAACACAATGTATTTCGGTACTGGTTTATAAGAGTAGGACTGTATGTATGTGTGTGTGTCTGTCTGTGGGTCGGTATGGGTGCCTGCAGAACCTGTGGGCACTGGATCCCCAGAATTACAGGCAGTTGTAATCTGCCATCTCCTTTTCTAGGGCCTGTCCTTGATCAGACTCTGCAAAATAGGAAGGCTGCAGTTAATTCATGGCAGTCCCTCCTGATGTTTAAAAATGAGCCACCAGCTACAATTTTCAGGTGTACTGTTGCTAATCTGGGAAAAATATATAGGCCTTCGCTGAACCTACTTACCCAACGTGGGAGAGGAAAGGGTAAAGAAAGTCAAAAGATGTATCTCAGGCTTGGCTAGCTTACAGCCTAAAATCAAGGAAGGGAAAAAGAGCCATGTGTTGGTCCCTGATGCTTTCCCCCTGTGGTCACTGAGTTTGGGGAGTAAAGTTAACTATGTAGCTGGCCTGCTGCTGAAGCAGGGGAGTTTCTGCGTGGGGCATCTCATTCATTTATTGTCTGGAAATTTCCAATAAAGTTAAACCTTGTGATGTCTGTCCTGCCTGTGTTCTTTCTCCACCAGAAAACCCACCCTGGACTTTGCCACGTAGGGCACATAAGAAGCAGCTGCTGGTTTGGGATAAGATTAGCAGAGAAATTAATTCTGAAGAAAATGGTAGGAATTCTGTTCGTGTTGTGTGTGGTTAATGTTGTGGGGCATACCACTCTGACATGGGTTCAAGCCCATCGAAAGTCTTCATTAGATGATAGTCAACGATACTGTGTATCCAGGATCCCAGTGTAGCATTGAGCCTTTCTCAGGGTGAGCTTTTAAGAACAAACACATCCTGGGTTGACAAACCTCAATTAGCAAGAACAGTTAGCCAGAAGCAGAACTGCATAAGCCAAAAAAGCAAGGTTAGCACATTCAGAGACTTCCCAGACTATGGATTTTGATGGATTAGGTCTTTGTTTTCATTTGGCAGATGGTGTTATCTATGTGACAAGTTTCATGGCCTGAATGATACTACTGTTATGGTATTAGTTTGCTGAGGTCTGGGGACCTGTTATAGCTATTATAGGACTGCCATTTGTGTGTTGGATCATAGAACACACATCTAATGTCAAAACTAATTTTTAAAAAGAAGTAATTTCACCTAAAGTGATGTCATATAAACAGCAGGTAAACAAAACTTTCACAAGAATTCAACAATTCTAGCTAAACGTTTATTCCCTGTCAGCTCTGCATTAGCCTGTGGGTTATTTTGCACACAGAATTATATGGAAACCTGAAATTAAAGTTGTTTTTTTGAAACTAGTCTAAAGCTCATGCTTCACTTCATTTCTACTGGCTTGTGCTTAACAGGCTGAGTATTTTGAACATATATTCAACAGTAAAGGTCCCTTTTAGCATAATGCTCAACTCTTAAGCCTCCTCATGCCTCTTGTAATCTCATGACATCTTAGAACAGAAACATGTCCAGAGTTCCTTCCTGTGCACAAATTCCACTCTTTTTGGTGTATGTGGTAGAGGAGCATGGGTGCATATATGTGCATGTACACGTGTAGAGTCCAAAGGTCAATGTCAGGTGTCTCCCTCACTCTCGACCAGCTTTAAAGACAGGGTCTCTCCATGAAGCTAAAGCTCACCAATTTGCCCTAAGCGAAAGAAAGTCCTAGAGATCCTCCTGTCTTGGCACCGCCCTCAGCACTGGGACTAGTGCCAGCACTGCACTGTTCCCCATTCCTCCTGGGGCCTGAATCCAGATGCTCATGCCTGCATGGCAAGACTGTACCAACAGAACCTCTCTTCAACCCCGCCTAGTTATTTCTCAGCAACTTAGCTGATCACTGTCAAAGTTTAGGAAACAAATATTGTTGCCATAAACACAGGGGCAATCCTTTCACAATTTAAATAATAAATCCTTTAAGAAGCTTCCCGACTCCGAACAGTGTAAGTTTCATTTGTAACAAATCATTCACCTCTGATACGATCATCTTAAGAAGCAAGGCCGATTTGCTTTTGCTGGAAATTTGACTAGGGCACTTTTTAAAAAAAATGTCTCGTGTTTATGCTTAGAGAAATTATAAGCACTTAAAGAATACTCTTTATGCTGGGAGAGAGCACAGTGGAAAAATTGCTTATCATACGAGGACAAGAGTTCTGATTCCCAGAACAAATGTAGAAAGGTGGGCATTCAGCAGCAGCGGCTTCAATGCCAGCACTTTGCCTCCAGTGTGGCGCTGCACATATGGCACTCTGACTTTGCTTTTGCCTGAAAAAAGAAAAAAAATTAACGTTCCTGCTTGGTTTTATTTTTTTCATGGTCTTAGAATAGTCTGGTCAGAGTTGTGTAGCTTTAAATGGTTTGTGCCTCGTAGGGGAATCTCAGCCATTTGTCTTGAGATTCCAGACACCAGACCAACTTCTGGTGTCATGAGCTGTTCTATGTCCTTTCTCCAAAGCTTTAGCCATCGTTATGCTACAACTCATCCCCCCACATTTCTGTTGCGTGTGTATCACACTGATTCCTCTAATACGAACCTGTATTAGAACGGATAAGAAAGAACAGTTCAGCACAAGCTACTGTCCCTGATAGGTAGCTGGCCCTTTGAGAGACAATCCCTTCTCCATCTCCCTAGTCATGGCTTAATTGCTTTTTCTATTGTCACTGGGTGAGCACTAGGCAACGAAACAAACACAAGATAACCATTTTTCTTTCTGATCATTTCAGCGCATGCGAGGCTCCTGATCCAGCATTCAAAGCCAGCCGGGACTACATAGTTTCAAGGCAAGTCTCGGCTATAAGGTGAGACCCTGTGTCAAATTCAAACCAGACCAAAACTAAGTCTTGTTACTAATATTAACATCTATCCTAAGTAACAAATTCCCATGTTGAATCCCAAGTTACACACATATTTCGAGTTCATCTTAAAGAATCACCTTAACTACCAAATTGGCCCAAACCCAATTTGGATACTGCTCGCGCATTAGGGACCTAAATGTGTAAAATACACATACGAGCAGCACTCGCAAGCCAAGGCACGGAGGTCCTCACCCTTCACAGCCACCGGCTCCCGCGCAAAATTCAAAAAGGAAGCCGAGCGGGCGGGCCCGGAAACGGAGGCGTACTGGTGGCCCCAGCCGGCGGGCCCCTCGGCGCCACTTCCGGCAGTGCGCGACATGGCCACGGGCCGGGACCGCGGGGACTTGGCTGCACGGCAGCTGGTGTTCCTACTTCCAGGTAAACGCGAGTGGCGCGCGGGCCTGGAGCACCCGCGGCGGCGGGGCTTTTGCCCGGGCCAGTATCCGTCCGCCAGATCCTGGCGATTGCGGGCGGGGATTCTGTGCCCCGCACTTTGCTGCACATCCTGGTCACGTGGGGCGCCAAACCCGGAAGCGTTGTGAGAGTTTGCGCGGGTTCCCTGGGGCGTAGTTGTCGGCGTAACCATCTAGCCCATGCAGATCGGCTTGCGTTCAGGGGACTCCGTTACCCCTGGGAGTTACTGGGTGTCTACAGCTCAGGATCTAGAATCTTACCGGATACGAACCAGAAGTCCAGTAGTCTCATGCTTAGCCCAGAACCTGGCCGTTCAATGTCCCTGAGACGGCGATCAGCTGCTATCAGTGTCTGTCAGGTCATGGGACAGCAAACAGTCGTGCCACACAAAGAGGGACCTATTAAATAGCTTGTGACGTAATTTTGGGTTAGGGAATGCAAGCCAGAAACATTCTGACATTTTACAGATGATACATTTGATGTTACAATATGGGAGAAGAGGAAAACTCCCTAGTCACTTAAATTTTGAGTTTTAATTCAGCAAACTCAAGGCGTTTTGCAGCAATAAAAAAATACTTCACCAGGGTACAGATACCCGGTGATGTCGATTTTAAAACAATCTTGGCATAACAACCTGACGTGTACATCCTTTGCATACATAGCTCCTCTCCTGTATAAAGAGTTAAACACAGTCAAATGTATGGGTTTTGAGTGTGCAAATCACACAGCTGAACACAGTATGCTGCTGGTCAAGTAAGTAGCTTTCCAGCAAGCAGCTCAAACTTAGAGAATCCCAGGTTTTCTGTCACCGAGTTAGCTTTTCCTGTCTGGATCCCTGTGCCCTTTGCATCTGTCTTCAGTGTCATGTCTACCAGATCCATCAATGTTGTGTGTACCATAGGGTTGGTTGGTTGGTGTGTTTTCATTGCTTCTAGTTCATTGCATGTATATCACTTCTGCTTCTCTAGTGAAGATAGATGACATTAGGTGGTTTTGATTTGCTACTATTAGGAGCTACGCTTCTGAGAGCATTCTTTTAAGGCTGTTGACATCCGTTCCTATAGTGTTCCTCTTCCCTGGAGTGGAAGCTTGTTGGTTTAGCTCTAATACTGCAAAATGATTTTCTGAAGAGATTGATACTGAATCATACTGACTCCAGCTACCCATGAAGAGTTCCAGTGAAGCCATGCCCTCATTGAAAGTGTTTGGATGGTAAAGCAGCGAGTGAGAGAGAATCCATGGTTTTGGTGGTCCATCAGAGGGCTAGGCTAGCTGGATATCTTATTGTAATTGGGGGAGGGGGATCCTCCTTTCACCCTTCTGTTACATCAGTATAATTTGATTTTCAGAGTAGGAGCCTTAATCTTTTGAAATCAAGTGTGTTGACTATGTAGACAGACATAGTAGCTGGTCATATTTTGAGTTTTTTGTTTTGTTGGCTGTTTAATTGTCATTGACTTTATTCTTGAAGGGTGTCATAATCATATCAGACGCAGAAATGAAGAGTTAAGTATCGAATGCATCCCGCAAAGTGATAGGTGTACTAAATCTATGGTGTGTGTGAGAAAGAGAAGCATTATAGCTTGGTTTGTGTGTGCAGCTGAGGTACCCTCTCACCTAATTCACTCATGCAGCTGACAGTACAGTGTGGTCAGTGGCTGGGGTTAGAGGGTTCTGAAACTTAAAACTTGAGCTTCCTGTCTTCTGTTCTTCCAGATGGCCTTTAGTGCCACCTGCAGGCTTGAAGGGTACAAACATATGTGATAGCTGCTATGGTAACTGCCCTCAAATGTAAGGGCATCAGCGTCCTCGGAGTGAGACTTCATCTGTGAATGTTCTGATTCAGTAGGTTCCTGGGCTGAGGCCCAAGACTGTCTAGTAAAATCCCTAGCACCACAGCTGCTGCTCTGGGTAACCTGGAACTGCCACAGTGAGGAGCAGCCCTGCGGAGCTGGAGTGTGGGGACCCACGCCTGAGGTTTCACTCTAAGATAGCTGGATTTTCCATAGACAGGCAGCTCATGGCAGAATACAGGATGAGGACCGCCATCACACTTTGTTGTTTCTTGCAGCAAGTGAAGAGTTTTCCTGGGTAGCTGTGGATTGAAGACCAAGAGACTGTGTACCCCTGGCTGAGTGCTACAGTCAAATTGGGCCCTTCATAAAGAAAACAAAGATCATATAAAAATTGACAAGGGCATTTGGCAGACGTGGTCTCTACTGTTTGAGAGTTCACTGTTCTGAAAGTGAGCAGAGGGCTGTGTACATTCAGGGCACAGCCACCTAACCTTGTGGTGATAAATCCTCAACATTTAACTTACATTCAGGTTGCCTGGAATAGCTCTGACAGGTCATGAAGGTGATCTGTAAAAGTTGGTTGCAGGTCATTCTTTTCCTCTAGCTCACAATTTTGTTTTGTTAAGTTGAAGCTCCTAGATAAATGGAAGTTGGATTGTGGAGGGCGCACTGTGCTGCATTCATTTTCAGAGGCAAGGTGGGATGTTGCAGCAAGGTGATTATGTCTTTGTATCTGGGATGAGTGTAAAGCTTCTCTGTCATCGCTTGGGAATAAATACTACACTGATTGCTGTTTGGTTACTCTAAGGCCAGTAGCATCTTTACTTTTGGAACATGGTATGAGTTTCCATCTCTCTTTGCGGCCCCTCCCCCCCAAAGTAAACGGTGAGTCATATTTTTAATACTTGTTTTTTTTTTTTTGTTTTGTTTTTTTAGTCAAGCCTTTGTATACTTGTCAGTTTTACTGAGCTGTGAGAGTCAGTCAGGAACACATTAGCTGACTGTTGAGTGGGCAGGAGACTGCCTTCAGCCATTGGAGACTCAACTTTCAGGAAGTGTCTACACGTTGGGAAACCCTAGTGTTCTGTGAGATAAAAAGGGGAGAATGGAAATCATGCAGGACTCATGTATATGGGTCCATGTAGCTTGAGTAAAATGTCCTTAATCACCCCCCCCCCCCCAGTGAAGAAGTCCTCAGATCAAACTGGATGGTAGAGCGTCTTCAGTTCTGTTGAATTACCTTTGCGTACTACGTAGGTCCCAAAGGAAGCGTCTTTGTTCATCATTTCTGCAGCTAGCACAGGAATTGGGCCAGTCTTTTTGGAGGCTGAAGGACAAGTAGCCTTTGGGGAATCCCAGGTCTGTCATCCTGGACATTCGTGTACACTAGCCTTTTAGCTGGTGTGTCATGAGGACCACAAATGGTATCTAAATGCAAAAGAAAACAATAATTGAAATTATTGCAAGAACTCACATTTCAGAGCTATGTTCTCATTAAAAGGCTTAAAAAAAAAAAGAAATCAGATATAAGAGGGAGAGCTAATTTTCCTGTTAAGTGATAGGTGGGAAGGCTTTTTATTAACATTATTTCGGATTAATGGCCTTCTAAAACCAAAGAAACATCTTTGTTAGGATCAAGAAAGGAAGAAAAGTGTGAAATATAAGGTGAAGGAAAGGGTCAGCCACCCCAGAAAACAAATGACGCTTTCCTCTTACCTAATGGTTGGCCCATGGTTAAACTCAGTAGAAGAGTGGACGTGGGCTTTTCTCCCTTTGCGTGCACATTTGCATTTAGAAACAAGCCCTGTGGTTGAAAGCCGCCCTTCCCTTGGCAGGTGGTAGAGAACCTGGCCAGTCCACATGTGGCCTTGAGACGGCCTCTCAGTAATTCAGCTCAGCTTTTTGGAAGATCGCTCATCATTTCCTGCAGGCAGTTTCTGGGTTGTCCAGCATGGAGAGCATTTAACATTTTCCACACGAACCTGGCTTCGTCTTTACACAGAATTTCTTGGTGGGGCTCCGCTGACCTTTCTCAGATGGCTGCTGGAGCTGCATCTGGTTGTTGAGCACGTTCAAAAGTGATGGATGGACTCGATCAGTTGCCAGTTGGTAATCTGTTAGTGTAATGTCCTCTTAGTAATCATTCCAAAAGACGTGGAACAAGTAACAACTTTTGGGTCCCAGATTTATTCTCCGGGGAAGAAAGAGTAAAAAAAAATCATTAAGGAAAGTAGCTCGATTTTAAAACTTGAATAGCATCCTAGGAACAACACAGGTTTGCCACCTTTACTAAGAATGCTAGGCAGCTGCTCAGCAGTGCTGCCTAAAGCCTGGCTAGAGGAAAGACACCTGGAAGCTAGGTTTGTGTGCTCTGTCAGTTCTGACCTTAGACAAAATGCTGCCCTCTTGCAGTCTCATTCCTCATTTCTACAGTGGGAAAGCAGAGCCAGTCTTGCGGGCTAGTCGGTAGTGGGTTAGTGTTACTGCCCACGTGCTCTGTTCACCTTTAGCAGGGCCAGGGCAGAGTATGTTTTTGATAAATAACAACCCAAAGAATACCTCAGTTTCATCTGTTTCTATGGTATCTTTGCCAACACTGTCGTGGCTCTTGTGCCAGATTCTACTCTGGCTTCAAGGTTCAACTTTATTTCCCACAAAGCCAAGTTATTTGCTCTGTTTGAATGTTTTGTTGTTGTTGTTGTTGTTTATCTGCTTTCTTAGCTTGGAAAATTCTTGAAACCCAGCCTCAAGGTCACCTCTATACAGAAACCTTCTCACAGGGCCTTTCCTATTAGTAGTACCTTTTCCACCAGCTACACGTGTGACTGTCATTTTTGTATGAATAACTATGTGTTGAACTCCTATGCAAGCCAAGAGCTGAGGAGAATCCAGGCATGCTCTCCCTTGTGGCCATTAGCTTGTCAACAGGGACATTTGCATCAGCTTCAGAGGGTGTCTCCGACAGTCAGAAGCATGCCACTTTAAGTTGTATAGAGCTTCCTGTGTGGCTCCCAAGGAAACCTTGTGCTGAAGTCAAAAGGCAAGGGCCATGTGAAGACATGAGAGCTGCATGGCTCAGGACCCAGTCCCGCCCTGAAGTTGTTGTTGGTGCCTGAGGACTTTCTTACTGGCCTAGACTCTCATGAAGGCCTAGGTTTGCTGAGACTC